CCACCACCCACCTGCCATCCACCCGCCACCACAATCCACCACCCGCCACCACCATCCACCACCCGCCACCACCAGCCACCCACCACTCACCTGCCACCCACTCGCCGCCACCATCCACCCCTTGCTACCACCACCCACCACCTACCTGCCATCCACCTGCTACCACCCACCACCCGCCACTGCATCTACCGCCTGCCACCACCACCCGCCACCTATTTGCCACTCACCACTCACCACCTACCTACCACCACCAGCCATCCACCACTACTCACCACCCACCACCATCACCCATTACCCACCTGCCACCACCAACCACCACCCACCACCCACTCGCCGCCGCCGCCACCACCAACACCACCACCACCACCACCCACTCGCTATCACCCACCACTCGCCACCGTCACGCACCCACCCACCACCACCACCCACCGTCACCATTTTCCACCACCGTCTTCCACCGCCACTTGCCACCACTTGCCATTTCTCAGTCTTTTTTATATTTTTAAAATTTTTAAAATATTTTGTCAATTATCAAACGTGTTTGTAGTTTATGTTTTTCTAAAAATAAACAAAAAAATAAACAAAAATCAATTTATAAAATTTTGTAAATATAAACTAAAAATGTAAACGTTACCAAACACACCCCGAATGTGTTATTAACATTTATAATCTAAGGTCTTGGTCCCGTTTGGTAGAACTGTGAAAAAGTAATTATAACTTATAGTTTAACAGCTTATAGTTTATAACTGTGAACATAAGCAGATTTTTTACTTATAAATTAAGCTTATTCTCTCCCACTTAAAGAATAAGTTGATTTTTGACTTACAAAAAGTTATAAGCTGTATTGTTAAGCTGAACCAAACACATCAAAATAGCTTAAATTAAGTTAAAAGCTGAAATAAACTAGAAATAAGTCCTACCAAACAGGCCTCTTGTTAACCAGTGTTCTTAAAACAAAAAAAAAAAAGTTTAAAAAATTCGAGATATTTTTTCACTAAATTTAAACTAAAGTCATCAATACACTTTTTAATATAATTTCAATATTAACTGTGGGAATCAAATTATACACAATCTAACCAATCTAACCAACAAGCTCACCAAACAAAGAATTAGGATAAAGCCACAATCACTATGGCTTCAAAATCTGTAGAGAAAGCTTACATTGTTGATCCGGAGGAAGTGTTTGGGAATAGACTATCTTAGTTGATTTTTTTGGTTTTATACGAAAAAAAATATAACAAAGTAGAGAGTTATATGATTGGGTGTTTTACATGATTGACTATTTTAAGTTCAACCCAACTTGTTAAACGAAACATTTAACTTCTCTCATTGAACACTCCTTAACTTCATCATCAAAGTATTCTCCGCCCAAAATTCATCGTTAGTTGGTTTTAATTCACAATAAAGCTAGGTATCATGAAAAATCTTTCATGAAAATAATCATGAAAATTTTGTGACCCTTGGATTACACTTAGAATAAAACACCACACACTAATCAAAATAATTCAAGGATCATATCTCTTTCATGATCACTTTTATGAAAAAAATTTCATAATTCCTAACTTTTCTCATTATCATTAGTTGGTTTTAATGGTGTTTTATCTTACAGATTAGGAAGGCGAAACTAATCTATTAGTTTGAGATCTTCATTAATTATATGAGCAAGTTTTTATGATCTCACATTAACCAATACTTTAGGAACACCCTTTAGCATTTTCCTAAAATATCTAAATTTATTAATTAACTGCAGTTGTTGGCGAGCGAAAAAATACGCCTATGGTCTATAGAAAAAGCGTGAGGAGATTGTTTGATCTTGACTATTTTAATGTAGCTTTTTTTTTTGTCATTGTGAGTGATATGAAGTGTTTGGGGGTTAAATTATTGATTAATGAGTAATTGGTTGATCCACTTATAAATTCAGCAAATAAGAGATAGATTCTTTGGTCATGGAATTGCACAAAAGCATGCATGTCCACCACGCGGCCACCACACAACTTTTAACACATTCATATATTATATGGATAAATACTAGAAAGTGCCTTTAAATATTATTTAATATTAGAATTATGTTAAAAAATAGATAAAAGTGTTAAAAATATATTAATTTCAATAGAATAATCTATTAAATTTAGTAAAAATATCTTATATTTTTTAATTTTTTTTTATCTTTTTATTATACTCTAGGGAGAGGTTTGATTGTGGTATTAAGAGTTGTATTAAATGTAGAAAAAAAACATGTAAAGCTCACTTAATTATTAATACAGTATTTAATTGTGGGATAAGGAATATATTAATACAGTATTTAATTGTGGGATAAGGAATATGGGATTAAAAGTGAGGAACACGTGGCTACTATTGGATGATTCAATCTGATGTTTGTTTTGCAAGGTACTGCGGCGTATTGTGCCACAACATGATAATAATTATTAAAGTCCTAACAAATTAATAATTTAGTGAAATAAAATAAAAGAATATTTTAATTTTAATTTAATTATAACAAAAACATATACATTAGAGCTTTTACTAATTTACATTGTCAGAGTTGAACTATGATTATAAAGTGTCTTGTGCCTATCCCACACACTGGTCCTGACACGTCACCTGAAAGTGGTTAACAACTATAAGTACATGGTAGAGTGAGAAATATTATACTGAGAGCATAAAGGTATAAAAGTCACCATGAATAATTATTTGGGCTAAACAGAGATTTGTTTGGTAACAGAAATGCATAAATCATTTTAAATAACAAAAGTACAACGCGGAAATCATATAAGCAAATAATCATAATTACGATACAAAACAGGACAGATGTATAGATTTAAGAGGTGGCTCATACGAATTCTAAATATGACTCCCACAATAGTGTAGCATTTAACTTCGCACAACATTTTGCTCCACACTAGAAATCAGAAAGTTAGTGGATCCATAACAACAGAGTGTCATATAAAGTGACAATTCAGAGGGTCAATGGTTATTTAAGTCTCTCAAGGCATGTGACCTCCTTGATGGTATTTACAAAATAATTGTTCAAAAAACATATTTAATAAACAGTTTTATCTATGGATTTCTCTTTTTTAACAAATAAGGTTCATGTAACAAATAATATACTTTTCAAAACTATATGATTTGCAAAATAGAATTTACAT